AAGCACTATTGTCGTCATCTCAAGGGTGACAAAATCGCCCTTTACTGAATCTATGGCCCGGGCGACCCCGTTATGGGGAACTAAATTCCCACTGCTCTGCGACGACTCTTCCTCCTCATCCACTAGACGATGTAAAGGGGAAGCTGAAAGCTTTGTTGTCGATATGTCTGCATGCGGAGAAGAAACCGATGTTGAGGCAGCAGCAAGTGGGACCGACAACCAAGCAGACCTGGCCGTGGCGGAAAAAGGAACAGAATTAGACGACCAGGCAGGCTTAGCCGCGGTCACAGTAGAAATAGACGCCGAAGAAAAAGGCAGCCTTCCTCTTATGAAATGCAGGAGAAGGAGCCTTCGGCCTCCTCGAAGATCCTCGAATTGAAAAAGAAAGACTGAAGGGTATCACCACCAAGAATAAACTGCAACGAGCAAGCGACCATGAGGTCAAGATAGCAAAAAGTTTATACATATGAACTCACCGGCCGAGGAAGAAGCAGGCCCAAACTTTTTGAGAAAGCCCGGCCATTCACGAATCCCCAAATGTGAGGCAAACCCCGGCCAACCAAGTTTGAAATGTCCCCGACCAAAGGAGGGGGCGTAGTCTTGGTTGTACGAAGCAGAAAAAAAATGTCAGAGCCGGCAACTAAGACAGATCAAGTGCTTTTAGCAACAAAAAATATATATATATATAGATACTTACGAGTGTAATTCCAAGTCTCAGGCAAGTTGTTCGCATTGGTCAGCACGTCTTCGGTTCTGACAAAAAAGTAGTTGAGCCAGAACTGATGATTTGCCTTATCATCCATCTTCACCACGAGGCATTTACTTCCTCGGTGGCGAAGATGCAACATCGTCCCCTGTAGAAACTAGAGGCGAAGAGATGCATCAAATGGCGGAGCGTGACCTCGTCCCTGGCCAATTCCGTAAATTTTGTGAGCATCCTAATAAGCTTGTAAATGTATGAAGAGAGTTGGGCCGGGCAAACGCCGTAGTAGCGGCAAAATTCCTCCGCCAATGGGAGAAGGGGAAGAGAATAGCCAACATGGAAAGGATATGCATAGAACGCGCAATACCCGGGGCGGTGGATTTGTACCATATCACGCCCCGCTGGGACCAGATCGATGTGGGCAGGAATGTTGAATTTTGCCCTAAGATCAGCTAGATCGACCTCTTTCATCGCTGACTCCGAGACATCGAGCTCGCTTTCAGGCGCCTTCTAAAAGTCGGACCTAACTTTCTCACTACAAGGAATTATTTCCTCCACCGTAGGAAAATTCTCATCTTCAACGGCGATAGAGACGCCTACAGCGCGAAAGGGCATAAGCACCGCCAAAGAAATAGGGTCAGTTCCCACACCAAAACCAGAGGATACATTAGCCATATTTTTTAGAGAGGATATTCAGACAAGTAAGTATTACAAACAACAAGAATCGCTAAGACCAGTAAAGAGGATACACAACAATGAATTAAGGAGAAGAAGACAAAGAGATTCGATATGAAGAATATGCAAAACACGAACGAATGTCCTCATCTCCCTATTTATAAGAATTAAAAGCGTCAAAACCGAGAAATTATGCCATCATTACCTAGCGCTGGTATTGAAATGACAGGTGCACGGGAAACGATGTAAAATATTAGGAAAATATGCCATAATGACGCATGATATCATGACGTCATTCTGGAATAGAAATGATATGACCTCGAAAGTCGCAGCCCACGAAAGGTCATGTCATCATCCCGTCTAAAACGTCACTACTCAACCTACTGCCCAATTTCGCCAAACATGATAAACAGAATCCGCTCATCAAGATCGTCTGGGTCGGCCTTAATAAACGGAGGGACTACTATATGGGTCGAAATCTGCCTCAGTACTTGGGACTAGGTAACATCGAGAAAAGAGTCAGCCGAGGTCGAACAGAAAATGGCAAAGCCCATGGGCGAGAAGCAAAAGATGGTCGATGTCGAGCATTGCAAAAAGAGTTGTAACAACTAGTTTATTAGGGCAGAATATTAAAGAGAATATTCAATTGGATATTCTTTGTACTTGTACTATTAGGGTTTATTGGAGGTATGTTCCAGATAAATAAGGAAAAAGATAAGGAATAGGGGCATGGGATATTCATTGTGATAAGAGCAGACTTTGCTAAAAAATATTCCCTCTCTCTTGAAAAGATACAAAGAACACATTTTTATCAAGGTTCTTGTTCATATTTTCCTCCACTTTTTCATTAGATCCGAGAAGATTTCGAACGTTCTAAGATCTGTCTATCACTCATCATTGTTAGAAGGAATAATCACCTAGCTCATTATTTATTGGGTGAATCACTCCTCCTATTTACTCAAATGTCATTTATTGCTATTTATTATTAGCCACTCTTTCATTATAGCTTATACTTTATGATTGTTTAATGCTTGTTATTGTTAACCCTTTACTGGATCTGTCCCACCTCACACACGTTTTCAAGATTCGCATCTAGAGATATTATCACTAATTAGGTTTAACCCGTTATTACATAAATATAATAGTTTTAGCCGAAAGTTATAATTTTTGGTCAAACAATTGTACCATTATTTCTTGAGTTATAACCCACCATTAAGAGGTGTAAGTTATGGGGTGTGAACTTTTTTAAAATAAGATTAAAAGGAAAAATGAAATTAAAAAAAAAAGAAGAATAAAGATAAATAGAATCCCTACACAAAGAAAGATGCCACATCACCTTTCCGATTTCCAACTTTATATCTATTCCTATATTATAAACGGGGATAACTAGGCAACTCATGGTCAATATGTCTGCGTGGCATAGGGACATTTTTGAAATTTCATAGTTTATATGCTTTTAAAATATTGCACTTGCTAGCTTTATTACTTGTACACTTGATAAGTTTATTGAAAGTGTGGGCTCCACCTCAACTTTTCATGCCACTTATTGTTATTGCAGCATTTTAAACTGGCACTTATTGTTCAAGTGGGCCCATCTCTGAATGTTTGTTCTATGGATTGGATATTACTCCATATCTTTTTATCTTCCACATTCTATATTTTGTGCAAAAGCTTTATTTTTTTACAAAAAATTCAAAAAATTCATACGAAATTTTTAAAAAAAGGGACCAAATTTAATGCTCGATTGTTCTATGCGCGTACATCTTACCTTTTAGATTAAAGAACTAGACTTATGTTGATGGATTTATCTTCTCTTTTGAGTATTTATTAGTTGGATAACAAAAAGAAAAATCAGGATTGTAAGTTCAAAAATCAAAGTTTAAGAAAATATGGTAGGAGTAAAATATTTTGAATATCCCAAAAAAAGACTAGAAATATGCAAAAAAATAAAATAATCCATGATTAATAAGTGGTACTTTATATGCTATTAATATCATAAATTTCACACACAAAGAATATATTTTAATTGATCTCTATTAACTTAAATTGTATAGTTAATATTTGTACAGATAATTAGTCGGAAACCTATGCTCTCAAAAGTTCTCTTTTTAAACGTAAATTTCTTCTCATCATGCAAATTTTAAGAGTTTTGTTTCCTATAAAGTAGTAGTAGTATGAAATTTCATAATCAATAATTGAAGCTAAAATCATCTAACTTTAGTATATACATTTCTATAATCTTATAAAAATTAAAATCCTTCTTTGAGTAAACAATTTTCCTCAGTAAAATAGAGTTCAATTTGACGTAAAACAAAAAAACAATAGTCCTCCTCTTCTACAATGTTATTTTCCTTATTTCACATGTAAATAATTTTAATTAGGTTATATCCGCTTCCATTAAAAATAAATGTCACTTTAGCTAAATATATTTGGCCAAAATAAACGTTGCTTTGGGCAATTAAAATAACATTAGTCTGTTTTTCCAAATCTATTTTCAATCTAATAAATTACCTGCAGAATATAATGAGTAACTTGACTATGATATAAATCATAAATTAATCAAATAAATCTTATAATAAATATTTTATATGATTTCCTTAATGAGCATACAAAAAATTTAAAAAGATATTTATTTTAGATATGAAATAATAGTTGGGACCAATAAAATTATAAGTAATTTTTTAATGACTTTAGATATTTTAAGAATAACTTTAGCATCCTTTGAAAATGAACTCGATCTATCTCTACCATACATATATTTACGACACTAATATTTAGGTAATAGTATTATTGTGTCATGCACAGCATGGACTATCCCTTATCCCTTGCTAGAATATACATACATAGACAAGTCGGGTACCAATTCAATAATATCTTTGTGAATTAATAGAAAGAGAAAACCACAATCACCACCTAGGGCCTGCTCACCTTCTTCCCTGAGAAGACGATAACGACAAAGGTTAATATATGTTTTCAGGAATTGTCTACTGCTTTCAAGGACTACACTCTTTTATAAATTTTACTAACAACTACTTTCTTGAACTAAAAATTAGTTACCTTTTGTTTTGCACTTATAAAGATTCTTGAACTTCACTTCGCACATATACATATAAAGAATACTAAACTTACAAAAGCTTAAGTTTACCGTTATTTGGCCCTCCACTCTACGACATTATACAGTTTAAACTCCTAGCTACTTGGTAATTGAATTAACATAGAGTTGAATTGAGAGGAAGATGGTAAGTATTTTAGGAATACTGAAATTATCCTTACACAAACTACAACTTCTACCTCTTCTCAGAGGCGGATCCAAGATTTGAAGATTCCGGGTGCCAAGTTGATCCAAAAATTCCAACTTGGCGCAAAGCATAAAATTTCCAAAAATACTACTAATATCATAAATATACATCATTCCTTTACAATTGTCCTCGACGAATTTTCATATTCTGAAAACGGTCAATAATAATATCATTACTTACATTTATAAATACATTCCGCTCTATACAGAGGTGGATCCAGGATTTGAAGGTTTCAGGTGCCAAGTTGGTCCAAAAATTTCAACTTGGCGCAAAGCATAAAATTTCCAAAAATACTACTAATATCATAAATATACATCATTCCTTTACAATTGTCCTCGACGAATTTTCATATTCTGAAAACGGTCAATAATAACATCATTACTTACATTTGTAAATACATCCCGCTCTATGTAACAAACTAAACAATCATTTAAATATTGATCACCCATGCTATTCCGCTCATCATTCTTTATTTGCTTCACAGATGAAAATGCTCTCTCCACAGTTGCGGTAGCAACAAGTAAAATCAGAGTCAACTTCAAAAGTAAGTAAATATATGAATAAGTTTTCACAAGATTTGCCTCAACCAATGCTTTTGCTAAATCACTAATTCCTTTCAAGTTGGAGAACTTGGCATTAGCACATCGCATAATTCTGAAAGTATCGAGTTGATAACTCAAATCCCGAATCTGTACTTCATCAAACTCATTTGGATAACACTTTGCTAAAGTCATTATTCTACCTTTTATCATAACTAGCAAAAGAATTGACTGGATTTAAGTTAGCCATCCCGAGAAGCAAATTACTACTCACTACATCAAAACGGTCATTAAGCTCTTGAAGTTGCACATCAATCACAACACAAAATATTTCAACACGCAAGTGGTGTGAATAACAAATACTAGAAGAATTCCGCTTAGACTTTCCGGGAAAATAAAACTCATCCATCTTGGGAATCAAAATATCATGAATAGCACAAAATGAGGAAGCACACTCCAACAAAGATTCTCATTCACTTTCTTTCATATCTTGCAATCTTTTCTTTATAATATTAAGAAACTCCACAGCATTAACAATATCTTGATCCCTTTTTTGTAAGGTCTTGCTCAACTCATTTGACAATGCCAACACTTTCAACATCAAGTGTAGCATAAAAATAAATTTGAATGTTTTAATCTCACTCAGAAGATACTTAGCTTGATTTCTATCATTTGAGGTAGAACCTTCATGTTTAATCACTTCAAGCACACGGACAATAGATGAGAAAAGAACAATAAAGTTATCTAATGTTTTGAAATGTGATCCCCAACGATTATCACCTGGTCCTTGAAGCCCCCGTTCTTGATTTAATCCTTGTCCAGTATGAACTTCACCAGACTCAACTAATTTCTCCAACTTTTCAGCTTGAAGAAGACGAAGCGAATCTCTACGCTTAAAAGATCCTCCAATAACATTCAACACATTAGTAATATGACAAAAGAAATCTTCAACATCCAAATGCTTTTTAGCAATAGCTACAAGTGTTAATTGCAATTGATGAGCAAAACAATGAATGTAATATGCTGATGGACTATCTTTCATAATCAAAGTCTTAAGACCATTTATCTCTCCCCTCATATTACTAGCCCCATCATAACCTTGTCCACGTATTTTAGATGGACTTAGTGAGTGCTCTAAAAGTAAAGAATATATTGCTTCCTTCAATGATGATGCCGATGTATCGCTAACATGGACAAGACCAACAAATCGCTCTACAACTTCACAATTCTTATCAACGTAATGCAAAACAAGCGCCATTTGTTATTTGTGTGAGATATCTTTGGATTCATCAACCAATATACCAAATTAATCTCCATTTAAGTCTCCAATTATAGCTTTCAATGTTTCTTTTGCATAAGCATTGATAATATCCTTTTTGAAACATTTATCACGGACACTATTAACATCACCAACATTTAGACGCAATCTTTCAAGGCTCTTATTCCAAGCCCTAAAACCATTCTTTGTATAGAATTCACCCGCACTTCCATGAATAAATTTATTTTTGAACAAATAACAACATAGGCAATATGCCGCATCTTTCTTCACACTATATTCCAACCATCTAGAAAATTGACCTTTGAACCAACTTGGAACAAATTGACGCATTCTCCTTCCTATTTTAGTTTTGGAAAATTGATGCTCGAAGGTTGACAAGGCCCTTTTTGAATATAGTGTCTTCTCACTTCATCTCGTATTCGAGGGTTATAGTTAGCAATTGGTATTCTTTCTCCTGGATCGGGTTCAAGTGATTCCAAATTGAGTTCATCTATTAGATGAGAAAGATTGGCATTCACCTGGCTCAAGGATGGACTTGGTTGAGAATGATCCAACCTCGTGACAAATTTATCCATCTCAATCACAAATATTAGGACCACTTTCCTGTAAAATAAAGTTCATTCCATCTCATGTTATATGCTTTCAGTCACGAAGTAAGAAATAAATTAAATGAGAAAGCTTCCTCTCTAGCAGAAATGCAAGAACAATTTGATAGTAGAAATCCAAGTTAAATACTAAGTATAGAAGAGCATCCTTCTTTATCTTAAAGAATCCTTAGAAGTTTGGATTCTACACATCTACTGCCAAGCAAAATAAAATAAACTTACGGCAGGTAACAACATATGATTTGAATAAGACGAAACAGATATTTGATTAACTAACTTTCGTTGCTTTAAGTTCCATCGAAGTGTGCTCTAAAGTCTAAATCGTTGCTTTTCTTCAATTAGATATCACATATTCAAAGTCTAAAATTGAACAATATTGTGATTTGTGATACACAACCAAATAGAACAAGATGGAACAGATATTTGATTAACTAACTTTCGTTGCTTTAAGTTCCATCGAAGTGTGCTCTAAAGTCTAAATCGTTGCTTTTCTTCAATTAGATATCACATATTCAAAGTCTAAAATTGAACAATATTGTGATTTGTGATACACAACCAAATAGAACAAGATGGAACAGATATTTGATTAACTAAATAAAACAGAAGAAAATAAAAATTGAACTGATATTTGATGGAAAAAAATGCAAAATAGGGCTAGGAAATAAATAAGAATCAACTGGTAGTGCCTTACAATGGTTGGGTGTTGGAAGATAGAGGCGATGGTCTGAACTCCGGTGAAAGAATGGAAGTAGAGAAGCGACCCTAGGATGTGAAAGCAGAGGCGACTGATGTGTTACTTCTGTTGGGTAGGTTTTTGTTTTACAGAGAGAGAGAGAAATTAAGAGGTATTTTATTTTATTTTTATACTTAAATAAATAAAAGAAAAGTCAATGATAAATTAAAAAAAAAGTTAACTGATTTTGTAAAAATAGCGGAGTTCGAACTTTCATCTTGTAGCAGGAAAAAGCAACATTTTGCCACTGGCGCCTTGGATACATCTATTAATGCGGATGGCAACCTAATTATTTATATTATTTCTTTAAGTATACAAGTTTGGATGTAAGCTTCCGGGTGGCGTACCACTCGGGACTGAATAGATCCGCCCCTGCCTCTTCTCCAAGGTTTTACTGCAAAGGCAAAGTCAATTCGGCCGGCTAGCCGGAAAATGTTGGGTTCATTTGCAACAAAAAGTTTGCAAGTTGACTATCTGTTATGTGACTACAAGTATTTTTTCTATTTATTTAATTTTTACCTATGAGACTATAATATATAAGTTTGGATAAGATTTTACTGAATAAGATTGAATTTATAGAAACTGACAACGCCCATGTGTTTACTACTCCTGCTACAAAATAAAATTCGAATAGGATAAGGGATGCGAAGACTTAGCCTTGCTATGCGCGTTTGATGTTCACACTGGCGAGCTTCCCCATGGCTCTGGCGCCGCCACCGCCGATCTCATGCTGTCGCCACCAACGCCATCGACAGCCCCATTTTCAGACCGTCATTTTCCGTCCAAAAACCAACAAAGGCACGTTTGCAACTACCTCTCTTCCAAAATCGGTAGGCTCGCTTTGCACTCCAACACCTGATGAAGGTTCTATAACTATAACACACCTTTTAGAGAATCGGATTAAGAATCCATTAACACTGTCCGAAGAAATTGCGCAACTGTCCGAATCCAAAACCTTGTCGGAAGTCTTACCTACATTTCAAGATTACCTAAACAGTGGCTTTTACCACTCGTCTGAAAAAGCCGAGGCCTTAGGCGTACTCTTACAGGCCTGTGGTAACCAAAAGGACATTGAAACGGGCCGTAAGGTTCACGAGATGGTTTGTTCATTGACCCAATTCAAAGATGACTTTGTACTCTGTACGCGGCTCATCACAATGTACTCTATGTGTGGGTATCCTTCTGCGGCTCGCGCCGTTTTTGATCAGCTGCGAACCAAAAACCTATACCAATGGAATGCTCTTATGAGTGGATACACAAAGAATGAACTTTGGTTTGATGTTATTTTTTTGTTTATTGAGCTGATCACTTCATCCCAGGATAGGCCCGATAATTTCACGTTTCCTTGTGTTATTAAGGCTTGTGGAGGGCTTGTTGATGTTGGTTTAGGGGAAGCCATTCATGGGATGGCATCAAAAATGGGTTTAGTTAGGGATGTATTTGTAAGTAATGCGCTAATTGCTATGTATGGGAAATTTGGTCTTATTGAAGAAGCTATGAAAGTGTTTGATCATATGCCTGAGCGGAACTTGGTTTCATGGAATTCAGTGATTTCTGGGTTCTCTTCAAATGGGTATATTGAACAAAGTTTTGATCTTTTCAGAAATATACTTACAGGAAATGAAGTTCTTGTTCCAGACGCAACTACCATGGTTATTATGCTGCCAATATGTGCAGCAGAAGAGGAAGTGGAGTTGGGAAAGATTATTCATGGTTTAACTGAAAAGCTAGGACTGGCGAACGAGTTAACAGTGAATAATTCTTTAGTGGATATGTATTGCAAAGTTGGGTACTTTGCTGATGCCAAAATTCTGTTTGAGAAAAATGAGAGCAAAAATGTGGTCTCTTGGAATTCAATTATCGGGGGTTATTCAGGAGAAGGAGATGTTAGAGGAACATTTCATCTTATGAGAAGGATGCAAAGTGCCAGTGAATATGTGAAGGCAAATGAGGTCACTCTATTGAATGTTTTGCCTGTGTGCTTAACAGAATCAGAGCAGTTGATAGTGAAAGAACTGCATGGCTACTCGCTTAGAAATGGTCTTGAATACCATGAGTTATTAACAAATGCTTTTATAGCCGCCTATGCAAAGTGTGGATTGCTCAGATATGCTGAGCTTGTATTCTGTGGAGTGGAAAATAAGACAGTAAGCTCTTGGAATGCACTGATAAGTGGCTATGCTCAGAGCGAGGATCCATCCAAAGCTTTGACTCTGTCCTCTGAAATTATGGGTTCTGGTTTGCTTCCTGACTGGTTCACTATTGGTAGCCTTCTTTTTGCTTGTTCCCGTTTAAAACAGCTACTGTGTGGTACACAAATTCATGGTTTTGTGCTTAGAAATGGTCTAGAAACAGATATGTCTACAGGGGTTTCCCTAGTTTCATTTTACATGAATTGTGGAAAACCTGAACTGGCACAACATCTATTTGACAGGATAGAAGATAAAAATATTGTATCCTGGAATGTGATGATAGCTGGTTACTTGCAGAATGCACTACCAGATAAAGCCTTGTTTTTGTTTCGTGATATGGTATCTCTTAGATTCCAACCTGAAGAAATTTCTGTTACAAGTGTATTGGGGGCTTGTTCAGCATTGTCTGCTATCAGGCTGGGGAAAGAAGTTCATTGCTTTGCACTAAAAACTCACCTTATAGAGGATACTTTTGTCCATTGCTCAATCATAGACATGTATGCAAAAACTGGATTTATAGGAATGTCCAAGTATGTTTTTGACCATATTCTGCTCAAAGATATAGCATCATGGACGGCTATGATTACAGGATATGCAGTTCATGGACTTGGAATGGAGGCCATCAAGCTATTTCAGGAAATGCAAAAATCGGGCTTCACGCCTACGAGCTTGACATACGTCTCTATTTTAATGGCATGTAACCATGCCGGGCTCATTGAAGAAGGTCGACAATATGTTAGAGAGATGCAGGTCCATGGTCTAAAACCTGAATTGGAACATTATGCATGTGTAATTGACATGCTGGGTCGTGCTGGACAGTTTGATGATGCCTTAAATCAAATGGCTGAGATGCCTATGCAGCCAGATACTCAAATTTGGAGCTCGTTGCTCAGTTCATGTACGGTTCATGTCCAATTGAATCTTGGGAAGAAATGTGCTGAGAAGTTGCTGGAATTAGAGCCAAAAAGAGCAGAAATATATGTTTTGGTGTCCAACTTTTTTGCTAAATATGGGGATTGGGATTCTGTTAGACAATTGAGGCAAAAGATGAAGGAGTTGGGCTTGCAAAAAGAAATTGGTTGCAGTCGGATTGAAATAGGAGGAAAAAGCTATAACTTCGCTGTTGGCAATATGCTATCCAAACCGTAAGACCTATAGTGAGGATAGATGTGACTGAAGGGAACCAATTGAGTTGGTTAGTACCTGAGAAGATTTGGTGCTTCAGCAATTGAAGAGAGAGGGTTAAGAACAAAATTGAGGTAGCTCAGCAAGAAACTATTTAGGATTCTATTTCCTAGTACCATGACCAAAAGGAACTCCTGCCTCCATCATCTAGCACAAGAGAAGGAAGGACAAGTTAGATGAACACTATTGCATGACGGAATGACCTCTACCTCTTATGGAAGCTGTTATCTCGCATATTTCCCTAGAGGAACAGTAGCTTTGTTTCTCTATGGGCACATGGTATGGGATTATAAAACACGGTTGTCCCTTGACTCAGGTTTTTCTTGTTGATGACTCCAGGTTTTCCTCAATGAGAAGCAGTTTACAAATTACCGCAATGTGCTTTACGTCGGTGCCCACAATGATCGCTAGGGAGATGATCGCAAGGATTGGGTAAAAGCACTCTCACATTTTTTAAGATGGTTTCTCCTGATAGCTGATCCAAGGATGGAGTCACTTTGACCTGCTTTTGTTTAGCCTCCCTAATTGTTCAGATGAACATATTAAGGCAGAATCATATTCCTTATTCTGTAGTGTGGCAGAAGATATTTGAAACTTAAGTTCAGGTTGGAATTTCAGTTCTTAAAAATGATGAGTGATATGAGGTTGGAATTCCAAGAGTCAATTTCGTGGTAGTCTAAAAAATATGCCCCTAATCTTGTACATTATTGTTGTAGAGAGAGGAATATGTCATTGATTTTAGGTGCTTGGTTTTCTCATGCTGGAATTCCCTTGGTGCTTCTCGGCATTATTTGTAAGACTTCGTTTTGTTGTGTGTAAAGATGGAAGTAAATATGGAGGATAAGGGTTGATTTCATCGTTTAGTTAGGGAATACGGAGGATTTATAAAGTATAAACAAGGAGTTGGATACTACTTCATGCCAGCTTTCAATCTTTCTAAAACTAGATGTAGAGAATGAAGTGGAGTAGTGTTACTTTTACTCCTCTTCCAACCATACCAAATTACTAGAAGTAAAATCGTTAGTATTTCAGCTAAGTGAAATGAGAATTATATTCCACATCCTAGTCCGTCCCTTCCCTTCCCAAGAATTTGTAGTCCAAATATCCAACAGTACTCTCCGTTCATTTGGCACCAATGGAAGGAGTGGAGCAGAGGCTTATTCAGGATTTCAAAAGTATGAGTGCACCGTGAGCACTAGATATCCGAGTTTTCGAGACGATGTCTAAGAGATATATTGTTGGTTTTGGAATTTTAAAAGTCAAAATAAAGACTAAAAAGAGAAGGACAAAAAAGAAAAAGAAAATGTGTAACCAATAAAAAAGGAAAAAAGAAACAAAAAAGTGTGTTTAATTAGAAGAAATGGCAGGGGGATTTAACCCTATTTATTTATTAAAATATAATTTAAAAGAAAAAAGAGTAGGGGGAACGGATCTCTAACTAAAAGGTAGAAGATGCACCTCCTTTTTTTTTTTAAATCCCTCCCAAATTAGGAGGATCTATAGTGTTTCTACACTTCCCCTCCAACGTGACTCAAACCCAGGACATAACGGTTGTGTGTGGAGGTGCTTTTACCAACTGAACAAGCCTCACTTACCAATGTACTAAAATGTTCATTTGAGCTTGGGTTCACCCGTGTTAATTTAAGTATTGTTGTTGAATTCACTAATGCTATACATGATTTTAGGGAGAGGATGATGGGTTCACGTGAATCCACCCCTCCCCTTTACATCCGCCCCTGGAGTGCAGGTATAACTTGTCAACTAGTTCGACGAGTGAAAATGTGCAAACCAAACCACATGTTCAAATTTCGCAATTAAATTGTACATTAATCTTCATTCTTTAAGGTTGTACTAGCTATAATGGTAGCTGAAAAATCTTCCGCCCGAGTTGACTTAAAACATGTGTTTACCAAAGAATTCTTATCACCGTTTATTGCTACTAGTAGCACCATAACAGCCTAAAGTAATCTCAGTTCTATGTGATTCATAGTCTGTTTGGTCAAGCTTCTCCAAGTTGAGAAGTACTTTTTTTTTCCAAAAAAAGTATTTTTTTTTTCAAAGTTGAAGTGTTTTCGCCCAATTTTTAGAAGAAAAATATATATTTTTGAGTAGAAGCAGAAGTAATTTTGGAAAGCAGAAAAAAGTAGCTTCTTCCTATAAGTACTTTTTTGAGAAGCATTTTTGAGAAAAATATATTTAGAAGCATTTTTAAAAGCTTGGCCAAACACAAATTGATGCTTAGAAGTGCTTTTCAAATTAATTAGCCAAACACAAATTGCTTTTCACCAAAAGTACTTTTGAAAAAAAAAAACACTTCTCAAAATAAGTTGATTTTTCCAGCTTGGCCAAACATGCTATCAATCTCCTATCCACCGACTACAAGACTGTAACTTAACGGGCAGAGTTCATTTTTAGCCTGCAGTTGAAACTATTTGTATCTGGTAGCCGCAAAAGTGTATAAAATTTGTATATTTTTTTGTATATAACATACAAAATTGTATATATACTAGTTTTATGGTATGTGTTTCACGCGTGTACCCCACACTAATGAATATATAATTTTTAAAAATTATATAAATAATATTTAAATAATATCTTTGAGTTATAAAAGAAAAAATAAAAAAAAGTGTAAGTTCTTGAAAATAGTGAATGTTGATCCCACTAAGCTAACTTAATAAAGAAAGAAATCCTTCTCCACATAAATCCTAAGATGCCTTATTGTAATTTCTAAAGACTTCTGTGGGAATATCTTATGAAATTTATTGTTATTTTTGTGACATAATACTAAAAGTAAATATTTATGCATAAATACTTTAATTAAAATTCTTTAAATATTTATTTAATAATACATATTTAAAAATTAAATCTTTATCTCTTTAGAGATTTGAGAATGAAGAGTTTGCCCTATAGTTTAAGAATTTTTTTAACGATAGTGTATAGTACAAAGATGACTAATGTTCAGTTGATATTTTACAACAAATAACTTAGTAATATATAAAAAATATATAAATTTGTTGGAATGAATGGAAAAGAAAGAAAAATAATTATTAAAAGCTCATTTAGAATACTGCAAACAGTTATATATAGATTATAATGTAGTGATTAAATAATATCAAAATTATTTATTGGATATAACTTATTTTGGTAGATGTTTGAATTATTGGATTAAAATAGAAAATATAGAGTATAATATAAATATTTGTTTGATTTTATCATATATAAACTTGAATAAATTTTTAATTTTATTTTAACATTGGACTTTTAAAATAATTAAGGCGAAGAGCTTTAGAGAAGGATATTTTGGTCATTTGATTATATTCTTTCTTGGGATACATAGCTAATCTCTATATTTTTATCCCACATTGAATATAAAATCAAAATAGTACCAAATTATGGTATAACCATTTTCATAAATTTCTTATGTCGAAAATGTAAATTCAACCAATCATAAAATTGAATAATCTCACTTTCTATCTCAAGATTGTTATCCTTCAATATTGTCCACGTGAAATTGTTTTTACATTCTTTAAAATTTTCTTATTTATTTTTCAAATTGTTGAGAGTAGTTTTCAAGTACTACACATATAATCGATGAAAAGAACATACTTAGTGATTTGTTCATTAGTATAGTTCCAAATATTATGAAAGAAACGATGAAAAGAAAATATATTATGAAAGGAGGTCAAATATTAAATATATGAAATGTCGATAATCACTCCAAAGTTATTTATCGTCGAAAACTAAAAGTTTTTTAAAGTTCAATACAATTTCAAAGATTTTATGTAATAGGATTAATTTACTTGTTGGAGAAAGTTTTATATGTTTATTACTTATTCGCATAATATATTTTTTAATTCTAAATAATAGGACTTCCTACACAGTTCAAATATAGAACAATTTAATAAATGTAATTTTAATAGATTTTAAAATCCTAAATATTAGGAAAGTAAATTAAATTATAATTTTATCTAAGATAAAATCGATTTTTAAAGGGTAAAAAGGTAATTTTAATATAGTGTATATATATATGTACAAAAAAAAAAATATTTTTTACTATTATTTTGAGAGCGGCTATGATGTGTCATTTTCTGTAACTTTAACACGCAAAATTAGTCTGACGGTCATATGACTACACGATAATTAATAGTACTACTTTGGGTGTGTTTGGTACGAAGGAAAATGTTTTTCATGAAAAATGAGTGGTTTTATCACTTATTTTTTCTTGTTTGGTCGGTGAGTGAAAATATTTTCTAGTGTTTGGTTAGAGAGTAAAAAATATTTTTTTAGAAAAAAAAAAATTTATTCTACTTTCCTCACCCCCTTCCCCCAAGTCCCCATGTTCCTTGCACTCCCCCTC